AAATATCCTACTTAATAGCTAATCTTATTCATAAATGGAATTCAAAAAGACTTTATTCCTCTTTGTGAATCCTGGCCTTTCTGACTATCATTAATGTAAAACCAATTATGTCTTGGTAATGAGTATCTTGTGTATTTTTAACACTAACACACACACACACACTCTCGCACGCCCTTAATCACATCGTTTCCTTTATGAGGAGAGCTGTGAATGGATTGAGTCCTGTAGTTCACACTTGGCTCTGGTAGCTCACCCTGGCAGACGGTCTATAAATAAACCCACAGTGGCAGAGTAGGGGTTTAGGTATTTGCATGGCACATATTCTCTTGGATTTATTTCCTGCATTCTAATGATGGATGACAGATGCAGTTCAAATCTTTGTGGCACCTGGAGCATGTCTTTTTTTGTCTCTTAGAAGAATAAAGGGGATGTTGGCCCCCACTGTTTGACTGTGCAGATCAGGTTACTGCTATAAAAGTGAAGAATATTTTCCCTATTTTATTTTGTATGTTTGACAGCGGGCTTTGAGTAGTATAGTACTCCTCAGCATTTGCTTTGCAGCATCCATTGGTTTTCTTTGGGGCCTGTTTGGATGAGTTACTAGAAGAAAGAAGGACAAGAAATAGCTGAATGGTTGTGGAATGACAGATCTTGGGAATACAGGGAGCACGGATCATTTCCAAAACTTGTGATTAAAAAGGAAACTAATACTGGATTGTTAGGTAACAGAACTGTTTGAAAGTGTGCTTACTCTAGGATGCAGGCAGGGTAAAAATGGCACCTCAACTGGTTTAAAAACCAGTTAAACACTACTGATGAAGACTTGGTCAGAGCCATTGCACTGGCCTCTTGAGTGTTCAGAGACATTTTATGAGCTCCCATGGTTGTGTTAATAGTGCAGATTCATACAGACTATTCTTGTGAAGCACATCAGTATTTTTGCTGGAATGGAAGAGATCCATTTCTTGTCCACATCTGGTGTTTCTCCAGAGATACTGTCTTGATGTAGGTCTGGGTTGGCAGTGAAAGAAGTTCTGGTTTTGTTTTGCCGTGTTCCCTCGCAACAGCATTTGTGTAGCTGTGGGATGAGTTGGATCAAGGAACTGATGTAGCTGAAAACCATGATTTGTGTGAATACTAGAGCCAGCATAAGAGGTGATGAAAATACGTGTTGAGGGGACACAGACCTTCCTTTCCAGGTACTGTGTGCCCTGATGTAGGTTCCAAGTGAGTATGTAGTCCTGTTCTCCTTACCTGGAAGATGTCCTTGCTTTGTATTAGCTCCCTGAGGCGGTCAGCTTGTGTGTTTGCGTGCGCTTGACGAAAATATGGTATGTGGCCTGCTTCTGTTAGCTGGGCTGAAAATATCCAGCATTCCTCCTTTCAAAAACCACTTAAGATTGTAGTAAATTAAGTTAGTTCTTTCATGTCAAGGAAAAAGGGTGAAGGTGGTAGCTTTAGTGTGGCACTTGAAAATGGCACAGTGGTTAAAGAGCTTCCAGAAGTTTATAGCTAGTGAAGAGTTTCTTGTTGTGTGGTGTTGGAATTTGATATCTGTCTGTTGGATTGAATGGGGTGAGGCTGAAGGGCACTCAAGAAGGGAGTGTTTGCTGCAGCCTGTTATTACGTGCTCAGACTTATTCAGTAAAGTAGAAATGGGGCCATTTCAGTGATATTTGATTAACAAACTCCTCTCTCCTTCTGAATCTTACTCCAAACTCTGAGGTCTGTGCTAACTTTTAACAGGGTATGTGGAGTGCACAAAAGCAAAGTGTCTGTGATTCTGATTTAAGAAATTGGTGTCTCTGATCACAAGACAGCCACTGCTAGAATTTAGGGACAGCAGGGTAGGGACTGGGAGAGGTTTCTGTGCACAGTTCTGTATCACTGCTTTGGTGCAGCTATATGTGGCTGTTGTTTGTATCATTTTCCTTGTATTGGGCCTTTCATTTTAGGATAGTGTCTTCTTAAACACTACTCTTGCCTAGCATGAAGAACTTAGAAAGTAATCCTGCTTGAGCGGGAGATTGGACTAGATGACCTCCAGGAGTCCTTTTCAAGATAATTCCTTGGCAGGAGTATATTAGTGATTAAGTACTTAATGATTTAAGACCTAATGGTGTAAGGCAGCACAGGGAAGGAGAGAGGTGCTGGGTGTGCTGGGGCTGATGGCTGTCACTTTATAGCAGCTCTTCAACTTTGGCACTAACTTGGAGCATTCATGTGACAGCACCCAGCGTAACTGTGAGTGGCTTCTGTGCCCTTTGGAGTTTAGTTTGGTAATTAGTCACTCCACAGAGGGGAAAACTGAAGGCAAAAGAGAAAAAACTCACAGCTGCTGAGAGAGAGTAAGTCACGACTGGGTTTGGCTGAGGAGCACCTGGAGACAGACCCAAACTTTCTGGAAGGGAAGCTGGCATGTTACGGTAGTTGAAGATGTGATTCACTCTTTGTGAACCTACTTGCACCCTTGAATGCTGTACTCCATCCCACAGATGCATTCTTCTCTTCCCCCCACCCTTCGTGCTAATTGGAAGCATCCCCCCTGTTTACTCAGTTCCTAACAGGATGCCTCATACCAAATAATCAATCATAGGACGTTTCTTAGCCTGTGACGCATCTTAATGTGCCGAGGAATAATTCTTAGCAAAGAAGGGGGTACTGAGTCATCTGGAAAAATAAACAGTCCTTGGGCATTTAACACCATTGATGCTCCTGATGGTAGTTTTTAAACTTCAAACCTTCACTGATACCACAGGGTAGAAACAGATGGTGACTCCTCCCCAGAGTGGTGCTGAGTTCAGAGTTTAGGCAGCACTTTAGGACTCTGACATGCTGCCTTAAGCACATGTTGCTATACTGGGCCTGACTTTGCTGTCACTCTGACAGAGGGAGTGTATGCCTGTGCCTGCCCTGCCACGAGCCAGCAGACCTCTCCCATCAGCCTACATAGTGGTGAGGATGAAGACACCCATCCTCTTCTGCCACCGAGGCCACATGCCTGCCAGGGGTATAGAGATGGGGTGACAGGGGCAGCTGAATTCCCTAAGAAGTGTCCATCAGAGACAACAGAGAGGCCAACTGGCTGCTGCTCTTTGGGTTTTCTAGAGGGATTCAAAGCCTTGGTGTGATTCTGGAGGTAGTAGGAGCAGTGTTACTGAGTTTGAGTTTTGTGCAGGGAAATGGTACACGCAAGCGCAGAGCAGGACATAGGCTGTCCTCTGCTAACACAGAGTGTGGGCTTACAGCAAGGCAATGCAGTTGAACTTGCATAGAAATCCTGGGAGCAGGAACGCCCAGCGGCCCTTGTTTGCCAGCAGCACTGTAAATACCACAGGGCCTTGTTGTCAGTAGGACTGCACAGTGAGGTAAGCAGCTGTGGCAAAAACACAGCCACCTTGGAGTCTCATTTCAGAGAGGGCACAGTGCAGGCAAGCTCTGAACTCATTTAAAGGTCTTCTACCCCACTGAAAAGTGGCTTTGCTTAGCAAATCTCTGCCTGTTGCTATTCTCTTCTAGACCTGCCTATATGACAGGTAAGATGGTTTGCTGCATATGATGTTCTTTGTTCAGGAAGCACTTCTACAGAATTGCTTTGGTGCGTATCTCTAGTGCTTCTCATCTTGCTGTCAGCGTTAGCTTGCTCTGTAGGACAACTGCAAACCCTAAAAATAACATACATCCCCAAGTAAGCAAACACAGCACACTGGGGAAAAATAAAAACAGTAGAGAGAGAGTGAAGATTTAGCCTGGGCTTTACTTGATTGTAATAAAACCAGATGTGGCATCATCATTTGTCAGAAGGCTCTGAAGGTCTTATTTTTTTTCTCTATATAGATGTTAGGTCAGCTTTGTTAAGAAAAGGATTTAAGAGTTAAAAAATTAACTCTTAAGAGTATTAAGAGTTTAAAGTTAAGAAAATGGTTTTACAATGTACTGCTACAGTTTGGCTCATTGGAACTGGCAAAGGGAGATAAGAGGTCAATGACTTTTTAATGCTTACTTTAGAAAGGAGAGAAGTAGGGCATATGTTGGTTACCCTGCCAAGGCCTAAGCAAGCAGTGTCACACAGCAGTGGTTGCAGTCAGTCTTAGCTGTACCTGAGCTGGCCTGAAAGAGGACTGGCTCTCAGCCTGTGTTGTTTTCTCCCTTCTCTTGGATCTGCCTGGGTCATTGCTCCCTACCCAATGTCAGCATGATCCGGGTCCAGATAAGCCTTTGCAGATGCGTGTGCAAGCTGGTTGCCATCATCCTGACAGAATGAGGTTAGGGAACAGCCATAGATGTAGTTAGGGAAGAGGGCATGGAACACTTGGACAGAGATTGCCCCTGTAACCCAGCTCTGCTGCAGTCAGGGTGCTGTTTTGGTTTGGCTTAAATGAGCACTGTGAAGTTAGAGGGAGCTGGTTGATCTGGGCAGCCTTAACAGGGCGAGACTGGCAAAGGTATGATCCTGGTCTGTAACCATAGGCTGCTGAACACCTTGTGTATGCTAACGGGGAGCGTGCCCTCACCAGTGGAACTTTGCCTTGTTTCTTGTCTGGCAAATTCTTTCTTGAAGCTCTGGTGCCAGTCTGTAGAGTATCTCTATTTTTTTCCTTGTTCTGTAGGTAACATTGGTAGCTTTTACAAGTAATTGTGGTAGGTCACTGCAGCCTCTAAATTAGTTCACATCTGAAATTCTCAAACTTGCTGCTTGTTATATGGTTCACAATTTACACAGAAGAGTCCTTACCTCTGTGTGCAGGCAACTGCAATTCAGTGATACTGAATCCAGCTTTGTAGTATACTCATCTGAATTATATTGTCTCCTGAATTCACGCAGGGGTTGTTGATCTGCTTTGTGGTGTGCTGCAGATGCTGTTACCACTCCTTGTGCTGTGGATTGCAGCATCTGAAGAGATTCTGAGCTTCGGTGTGTGATTCACATAAGAAAAAGGAAGCAAAACAATTTCTGTCCATTTTCCAGAGTTCCTAATTCTCTTGTTTCTTATGCAGGGTGGATTACCAAGAATCCACATGGCTCTCTTGAACTGGCGATTGGGTTTATCCTTAACCCATCTAAGCAGTATGGTGATCCAGCGGCACTTCAGGTAATTTTCAGATCTTGCTTTTGCTTTTGTTTTCTTGGGAGAGTTTCCTGATTGAAGGAGATGCTGTTAAGTAGGTCAAGCGTATGATACAGTATTTGTGATTCAAAAAGGATAATATAATAATAGTAATAAAAAAAACAACCCAACTCACAGTTGTCTCTTCCCAGGTGAGCCCAGACACAACATAGGCAGGTTCCTGGCAGTCTGAACATGGTCTGAACCCTGCATTTTCATATGGGTATAAGGGGGCTTTTAGGCCTTGAGGGCATCGCAGTGGCCTGAAAGCAGAAGTTGGAAGTGCCTGTGTTTTTCAGCCTAGTGCAAATAAGCAACAGCCAGTTTTTTTTCAGTTACATGTTTAAAATATTCCAGAGTTTATAATTTCAGGTATTTAGAACAAAAGTAATCTGTGAAAATATTTCCTTGTACCTTAACAGTGCCCATTTTGTTAATTTTCTTTAGGTCCTTGTTCCAAGCTCAAAGCATTTAAAGCTTCTTAAATTTATGGACCTCATATTTTACAATGTCTTGCACAAAGCTTAGAGCCTAATCTCACAGTGCAGGTATGGAGAATCTCTAGCATATAACTCTTTAAAGGGTCAGAGCTTAGCTTAAAGGATGAGAATAGTCATTCTTGTGACTGTGCTCTGGGGAGGGTATTAAGACAATGCTCAGGGCTAGGTTATGTGGTAGTCCCAGGAGCTATCTTGAGGAGGTACCTAAGTCATACTGGCTTTCTCTGTAAATGGGTTGCATGAGAGCATTGGCCAGTAGGTATTTCAAGGAGATACACATGCTGACAGACAGAGGGAGGCAAAGTCCACAGAGGTGAGCAGATGTCCGCAGTCTTAATGGAAAAACCTTTCTTTTGTGGTGGGATTTTGCTCCAAGACTGTGATAGAAATGAAGAAAGGAGGAGAAAGAAAAAGGTCCTCCTTGTGCAGTTAATCTTGTCCAGTGGTACCTGGGCAATCACACGTCTAGTGGTTTCCTACTGCTTCATTGTGTGTTTGGCCCATCCAGGTTTCTCAATCTCCTTCATGTTATAACACTCTTGTCCCTTTCCAGACTCCTCCCTTGTGCTTTCCCTGCTGTACAGCCACAGCTGACAGGCAGGGGATAGGGTGTGGTATACCACATCCCTGCCAGGGGATGGGAGAGGGTGGCAGCTTGCAGAGGCGAGTGACTTCTGAGAGACATGTGCCCTCTTGTAGGGGAAAGCTGAGGTAGACCTCCGCTGTGGGAAGCAAATCTTGAGGGCAGCATTTGACCTCTGCAGCAGTTAGACTAACACAGACTGACCCAGCTAGCCTTCTTTTACTGGATATAAAAATGCCGGCTTCATCTGAGGAGCATCCACACCATTTTTGATACACGGGGTGGCTTGCTCTTCTTCTAGGTAGCATTGCAATTACACGTCTTTCATCTTCTAGAAGGGGTGATGATCCCCATTGATCTTTATATACTAAACACACTTCTGCTCTGCAAAACAAGGTGAATGGTTAGGTTGATTCCATATGCTGTCTATTTGAGTAGTTCAGCTGACAGCAGTTTGGCTTTCCTGCAGCTGTGTGGCTAAGCATGTTTCTGGTACCTTACTGCAAATTAGTTGTTCAGCAGCAGAAAGGATCTTCCTGCTTTTCTGATGGTCTGTGTTTGGGCCTCCTTTGAAGACAAACAACACATCACTTGAATTTCAGCTTACTGGATAAAATAATAGCTACTTCTGTAATGGAGGTTAAATTGTTTCTCACTTCATTCCTGCTGTTCCCAAGCATAGTCAGAGTCAAATCTAGTAACTTAGTATTGTGCAGTTTATTTCTGTTGTTTCTTACTCCTGATAATCTCACAGAGCAAACAGATAAAGAAGAGACTATGTCTCTCTGGGTTTCTCCCACATGGGGAGGGTGATGGTGTGTTAGAT